AAGGATGTACCACTGAGGTTTTAACTTCAACTTTGTTCTACGAGAAGTTGAATGAATACTAGTAATTTTCTTCCCTCTGTCCCTGACTTTCCCTAACACACCACCTTCAGAAAATAGTCTTGCCAATTTGTTCTGGGATCTCTTGTCCCAAGGGAAATTAAAGCTATTTGTGTTTCGAAGGCAATAAACAGGCCCCTTGTAGGCCATTTGGGGAAAGGATGGAAGAGTGGAGGATTTGGGCTTTGTGAATTTCCAAGAGATATTTAGGATGTGTTTTCTAAATGAAGGGTATAGTTGTGTGTATTTATTGGGAGAAATCTGGGGAGCAGTGTGTGAGATGCCCCTATGGCTATGGATAGCTATCAAAGGCACCTCTCTGACTTGTCTGGAGATACAGTGAAGGACCAGAAGGTAACAATAATAAATATAATTATAGCAAAGGTGGTGACCACTGAAGTTTAGGCATGTTCCCTGATCTCCTGGAGCCATAAATTCCCAAGGTCTATGCATAATCTTGAAGGTGCCAGACTCAGTAATGACCAGAACTGGACTGATTCTGCGAAATCTGGTGGTTGCAGCCATATTGATCTAGGGGAAAAAAATGTTGCTTAGGTGCTAAAAAAGGACTGGCTATAACTGTTTTAAGTTTATAAAAGATCTAAGTTATATGCCCGTCTTTTAAGATATGTAAACTATCATGTTTTTAAATAGCGTAAGTAACATTATTATTGGCCTCATAATTTCCTTTATTTCAAATAAACAATAACTGATAGGGTAATTTCACTGAACCATAGAGAAAGCAATTACCAATATATTTTCATATCCATGATGTCCAGGTGTGAAAATTGGCAGCCATAGTCATTACTTTTTCTTTCATGCCATTATAAAGCCATTTTTAAAACAAGAGATGGTTATGAAACCTGTTTATCAGGAGACATTTAACAAGTTATATTAAAATGAGCACAACTTTCAATGACTTTTTTCCTCTTTAATAGTGTATTTTGGTTTCAGTGTTTTTCACATATTTGAATATAGGTACATATATTTATATATAAATAAACACTTTGAGAAAACAATAGTAGTTGATCATTTATGGATTGTCTAGTAGTTCTTGATACTTCCTGGATGCTAGACATAAACTGTCTTTTCTAACTTTAACAATTAAAGTTTTTGGTGGGTGTGATTTTCATCTTTTTATTGATGAAAAACAGGGACTCAGAAGGTCAAGGAGGTTGCCCAAAATCATACATATAGTAATTGGTCGAGTTAGTTTTTGATCTTGTTCTTTCCACCATGTTTTGTTCTGAGAATTATTAATTATGGTAATTAATATTAATTATGATAATGATTCACATTATATTATTATATTTCTAGTATGTGCCAGGCACTTGGGTTAGAGTATCAGGGATGGAACAGTTGTAGCTACATTCTCCCATATTGTCACTTAAATTTTAATTGTCATCAACATTTCCCTCTCACCTCCTCCTTAACTACTTGATTCTTCCTTCTCATTGCCCTGTTTATATCCTGTAAGCACCATCACCTTTTTTAATGGTGTCCTGACCGGTACACTTCCTGCTCAAGATGTACTAGTAAAACAAGTTATATATGACATAAAGCAAGGAAAACATCAAAGAGGCATTGCATTCACTAGGCTTCCTGGGAACAGCTGAGTGTGAACATTGTCCACAGGCTTAGGTTTAAGGAGAAAAATAATTTACAATGTTAAGTACAATATGGATACATGTACATTTTATGCCACAATCAACCCAAACATATCAATAGGACCTTTGAAGCAAAGTCTTAATGTAATAACATGTAGTTTCAGAAATGCAGAGTAAGTGAAGATAGATGTAGCAATTTCAAAGTACCAGAATTATTTAATAAATTAGCCCCAAACTCAGTCTGCTCTAAATCAAATGGATTTATCCTCTTCTAAATATGGGAACCAGGAAGTAGCATATTACTTGATTAGATTTTGACCACACACATAAACAACCAGGAGGAATCAACCAAAAGTATGATAGTAGGATACCAGTTCTCAGCAGACTGAACTTTCTTTCTAAATTTTAGGTGTGTGTGTATATATATATATTTATGACAAAACAAAAACCTCAAATGCCAAAAATAAACCTAAGTGAAATACCATGTAAAGCATTTCTTCCTCCAACCGAAGTATTTCTGTGGGGTTAATCAGCTTGAAGGAATTCAAATTCTGTTTTGATTATGTCACCACTTACATTGCCTGCCCCAGGGATTTATGCCTTGCCTGACTTAGCACCAAAATCCTGAAAATAGAGTGAGCATTTGGCCTGTATACCCCCACTTGAAGAGTATTGGAAATATTAAACTCTGGACTGAGACCAAATGCTCTTACTGGGTCTGAAGATAAAAGATGACTGTCTGAACTTGTTTATTTTTGTAGTGGGGGGGTATTAAATTGTATTTCATGTGTTGTATACCAAGAATGAATTAGTACTATTTAAAAGCAAATGCCTAAAATGTTCATTTTTGAGTTGTTTTGTTTTCAGTAATCTCCCTAGTCTTGCCATTTTTTTCATATTCCTTTTTCATTAGTGGGTGCATTTTATGTAATAATAGAACTGTAAAAACACGACATTTTCATTTTGCTTTCGTTTAATTCCTTATCTAAATGTTTAACTGTTCTTCATTATTTTATTCTGTACACACATTTTCCTTCTTAACCGCTTCCTTAAGAGGGATGCATTGAAATACTCCAAGTCAATCTATAGACTTTTTAATATATGTGTTTCTCTGCCTGTGTAGAGAATGTCACATTCATTTATTTTTTAGCAGGTTAATACAAAAAAGTGTTTTGGGGCTAATCAACCAGGGCTGAGGTCTACTATGTAAGTTTGTTATCCCATTTACCAATACCTTAACATACTCTAGGTTTTATTTCTTTTCCACTGCTGGCTTGTTCTAACCATTCCAAGTTAACATTTAACATGTAACTAATATGCATACATTATATATATATATTATATATATATATATATATATAATATATATATATATTTAATTATGGTGACTTGAGAGAATATAGATGTTTTGGAACATTTATTAAAGACACCTAATTCAAGAAATAAAACACTGTCAATACCCTAGAAGCCATCATGTCTCTTCCCAGTAATATTCCCTCCCTCTTTCCAAAGGTGATACTATTCTGGCTGTAACACCAGAATAGTCTTGAACGTTTTAAAATTTACCTGCTAGCTTAATAACTTTTGGGTCTGGCCATGTTCACTCAACAAATGCTTATGGAATCATTCATGTTCTTTGTAGAATTTACTTGGATTTTTTTATTATATTCTGTATTGTATGGCTCAGTGAATTATTTGATTTTAAATCATTTTTACTATTGATGAGACTTTGAATTGTTTCTAGTTTTTAGCCATTATCATTATTGCTACTATGAATATTTTTTACATGCCTTCGCATGAACATATGTACCTTTTTCTGTTAGCATATACGTAGGGATGGAGTTGTTGTGTCAAGGGGTGTGCCTATGTTCATTTATCTTAAGTAAATTTTGTTAGTTTTTCAAAATAGCACCAGTTTACAATTCTACTAGCAGAGTATTAGACTTCCAACTGTTCTGTATTCTCAGTATCACCTGATATTGTTAGTCTTTTTTCATTTTTTTTAAAAGTTTTTTTTTAAAGATTTTATGTAATTATTTGAGACAGAGAGAGAAAGAGAGAACAGGGGGGAGAGGCAGAGGGAGAAGCAGACACTGTGAGAAGCAGGGAGCATGATACAGGGCTTAATCCCAGGCTCCTGGGATAATGACCTGAGCCAAAGGCAGATGCTTAACCAACTAAGCCACCCAGGAACACTTGACGGGTAGTCTTTTAAAAAATTTTTACACATTTTGATGTGTGTAGAGTGATATCATATTTGGATTTAATTCACATTTCTTTGGTAATTAATGAAGGCAAGCACCTTTTAATATCTTTATTATTCATTTGCTTATCCTCTTGTGAAGAGTTGATTCCAGTCTTTTGCCCATTTTTTCTATTTTCTTTTCTTTTTTATATAATTTGTAGGCATCTTTTACATATATGAAATATAAGCCCTTAGTCAATTATATGTACTATAATCATCTTCTCTACCTTTGTGTTGTGATTGTTCACACACTTGAAAAGTTCTAAATTTTCATGTAATCCAACTAATCAACTTTTCTTTTATGGTTAATGTTCTTTATTTTTACTTAAGTAAACTTTGCTGCCCTAAGATCATTACTATATTCTCTGATATTATTTTGTTGAAACTCTGTTGTTATCCTTTCATGTTTGGATCTGTGATCTGTTTGGAATTAATTTTTCTGTGTGGTATAGGAAGGGTTCTAGTTTCATCATTTTCCATATGGACCACTAATTCTTCCAGCACAGTCAAGTCTTTTTTTTTTTTTTTTAAGATTTATTTGAGAGAGAGAGGCAGAGGCAGAGGGAGAGGGAGCGAGACACTCAAGCAGACTTCATGCCCAGGTGGAGCTTGACATGAGGCTCCATCTCATCACTCTGAGATCAGACATGAGCTGAAACCAAGATTTGGAAGCTTAACTGACTGTGCCACCCAGTGCCGCTAAGAAATATTTAACCACTGTTCTACATGCCACATTCCCCAGATTGTGAGTCTGCTTCTGAAATATTATTCTGCTCCATTGGTTCATATTTGTCTATTTTTGCAGCAAGAGAAACTACCTTTACTATACCTTAATAGTAAGTTCTAATGTCCAGTAAAAGAATATAGAGTAGTATCCCAACTTGTTTCCTCCTAAAGACTGTTTTTGGCTATTCTTGGCCATTTAAATTCATAAGTCTTTGATTACATCTCAGTTAAGGTATTTTTAATTTCGGCCTGATTAGATCTCAATTCTGCAGTAATGAAGTCTCTAGAATCCTTTATGCTTTTTGCAGAGCCACCAGTAACTTTATAATTGTACTTCTGAATTGAATTTTTGACATTATATTTTAAAAAATATGGAATACTTCACGAATTTGTGTGTCGTCCTTGCATAGAGGCCATGCTAATCTTCTCTATAGTGTTACAATCTTAGTGTATGTGCTGCTGAAGCAAGCACTCATATGCCTTTGAGAATCAGGTTGACACACAAAAGTTCTGCTTGGAATTGTCATTTGCATTGCATTGAATCTAAAAAGTAATTTGGGAAGCACTCATATTTTTAAAAATCTTAAGTCTTCCAGTCCAAGAATTTAGATTTATTATGTTTTTCTATATATTTACATATTCTTTATATATATATATATATATATATATATATATATATATATAATTTCTTGGTAGAGAAGTCTGCTATACTTTTGTTGGCAGATCTTCACTTCTTAGGTACTAAAAGCCTTTTATTTTATTTTTTAAAAATATTTTATTTATTTATTCATGAGAGGCAGAGAGAGAGAGAGGCAGAGACCCAGGCAGAGGAAGAAGTAGGCTCCATGCAGGGAGCCTGACGTGGGACTCAATCCGGGACTCCAGGATCACACCCTGCGCTGAAGGCAGTGCTAAACCGCTGAGCTACTGGGGCTGCCAGTAAATTATTTGGCAGCACATCATTTCGTTTCCAAACATAAGAGGATTTTTTTTATTGCTTTCTAACTTAATTCTTTTATAGTCAGAAAACATCTGTATGATATCAATTTGTGAAAATTTGTTAACATTTGTTTTATGCACTAGTGTATGATTAATTTTGGTAAATGTTCTATATACACTTGAAAATAATGTATATTCTGCATTTATTTGTTGCAGTGTTCTCTACTTATTAAGTAGATAAGTTTGAGGTGGAAATTTTATTTTATTTATTTTATTTTATTTTTTATTTTTGAGGTGGAAATTTTAATTTACCTTTGGGACAGACCATTTTTGTATTTTGAGGTACAAAAAAAGAAACAAAATTTTTAAGTGTATTTAAAGCAAGTATCCAAAAAAATAAAAAAAATAAAGCAAATATTTAGTCATGGTACTTGGGAAAGCCCTTTATAGAAATGGTCTAAATGCAGATATTCACATGAGAAAGTTGTATTCTGTTGGATGCTATAAATTGGGATTATCTTTATCATATCTCTGTTTTGTGAATTATGATTCTTATAAAATTAATATTGAGGAAAAAATTATAAGGCCTTTTGCAGAGTTGTATTTATTTTTCTTTGATCAGTTGACTGTAGAAGATGGGAGCTATGTGAATAGTCTAAGAAGGCTAGGCTTTTCCTGGACCTTGATTTGTAGTCTAAAATGGAATAACCCAGGTTTTGAGAAATATAGTGATGTTGGACTACAGTGCTCTAACGTCTTGAGGGAGAGTGAGAAGCAAAGGGCAGGGCTATGAATGACACCAAGGATAAGGTCATAAACTTGATTTGCATTTTTCAGTGATTGGAAAGATGTTCCCTTGAAGGGAGTACTGTCTTTTTGTTAGTCCTGTAATTGAAAATGAGCTCTTGGAAAGTACTACCTTTCCCTCCTTGGAAGGCACCCAAAGGGGTATTTTATCATCTTTCTTCCTTTTATCAGAACCTATTTTTAAACTGTTAATATTAAAGCCTTAATCCCTCCTTAGTTGGCTCTTGAGGGACTTCTTTCATTTTTTCCTCTTTACTCTTATATTCCTAGAACTTATGGGTTTCCTGTCAAAGGGGAACTTTTATATAATATGTATTAGTATAATGAATCCCAGAAGTTTAATGCAATAAAATTTTGTTTTTCATTCATGCAAAGACCAGTGGGGGTTAGTGGGAAAAGGAAGGGAGATCTCCTGTATGTGCCTCCTCCAAGAGTTAAATCAGGGGATTATTTTTCTAACTCTCACATGCCCCTTCAACCTCAACATTTTTCACATCTAACAATATAGAGAATAAAGAGAGCGTGTGAAAGATTTCAGGGGCATTTAATGGGTATCTAATGGTAAGGACTAGAATTGGCATTCTTTATTGACTCAATCTAAGATACATGGTCCCACTTAGATAGAAGTGTGTGGGAACTGGGAATGGGAGTTTTCTTGTATGCAAAGGAGGAAAAAGAGATGGTTTGACAAACATTATTTCCATTGCAGCATATGCTTCTTCCCAGTGTTGGGATAATTGCTTTCTCTTTTACTGGAGCAGTAATACTGCAATGGTTATGGGGAAAGAGATCATCTAATGAAGAAGGCAAAAATACACCAAAAGATATTTCAAAAATATTACTCCCATTACCTTTCTAAAGCCCATGTTGTGGTTCTCTGTTGTTCTTCTTGATCCTTAGCTACTGTAAGTCTGTATTTTGATTAATAAAGGCTGGTTTTTTTTTGTTCTCAGTCTCCTAATTTGTAGAATGGGACCCTTATAATAACTGATCTGATAGGTACGTAGTTAGGGGTAGTAAAGTGATTGCTAAGCCTTGAGAAAAGTAGTTCAAAGACATTACTTTCTTAATATATTTGAGTTTCCAAATACAACACCTTTGTTGGCCAAAGTTGAACAAATGTTGAACAAATGTGAATGTTAATTCACAAAATGCTTTCCAAAGTAGGGTATGTTTAGCTGGAAACGTTGGTATATATATATTTGGTATATATGTTAAAAGTTATACTTGTTGGGGTACCTAGGTGGCTCAGTTGGTTAAGCAGTTGGCTCTTGGTTTTGGCTCAGGTCATGATCTGGGGATCCTAAGATTGATTGTATTGGGCTCCATGCTCAGTGAGTAGTCTGCTTCAGGATTCTCTTTCTTTGTATCCTCACCCTGCTTGCTCTCTCTCTAAAATAAATAAATAAATCTTAAAAACAGTAAACAAATTATATTTGTAAATGGATATTCTCCTTGGAGGATAGGATAATCCTACTATAAGCTTGAAACTTCAACTAACTACTAAATATCATCATGCTAAATATCAACATAACTACTAAATATCAACAGGCAATAATTTGAAATATCAACATATAAGAACTATTAAATTAAAAAACCATTGGGTGGGAAGCCCTGGTGGCCCAGCGGTTTAGCGCGGTCTTCAGCCCGGGGCATGATCCTGGAGACCTGGGATCGAGTCCCATATCGGGCTCCTTGCGAGGAGCCTGCTTCTCCCTCTGCCTGTATCTCTGCCTCTCTCTCTGTGTGTCTCTCATGAATAAATAAATAAAATCTTAAAAAAAAAACATTGGGAAAATGGTTTCAAATAGCGTAAACATGTCTAGGATTATTTTAGAATATAAAAATAATGTAAAATTATGATTCTGTATTATAATTATGCTACATAGTTATATTTTATAATTGAAAATTGTTTTTCATATTATACATATTATAATTATACATATTATAATTATAATTATATAATTGTAATACCAGCTAATTTATCTTGAAACATTTTAAATTTTATAGTTGGTGCTGCTTCTTTTCTCCTCCAAAAAGTATAGATTATTTTGCACCATTAAATTATTGGCCTTTAATTTTTCATTATTAGAAGTTTATCAGAGGATTAATGTATACTTTTAAATGTTTTTGCATCTCATCATCACAAAAATATCAAGCAGAAGATGAATAATGGGAAAATTGATGTTAATGTATTCTGGCTCAGGATATATGTTATTATTTGACAGCTATCTCCAAAGTAATGGAAACTGGTGCTCTCTTACATGGTGAGTTAATTTTTATGCCTGATTTCATGTCACATAAAATATTTCCTGTAAATATTTCCTAATTCAAGGTCATGCATTAAAAAAATTAACTGGCTGGGAACCATAACAATAAATGTGATTGAATATAAGTTTTAATGGCTTAAAAGCAATAGTTAGTGTTCTTAGTCCTTTCTTCTTCGGAAATGGCTAATTTTATTCATCTCACATGTTTTTCTGGAATATTTTAATGATTATTTCTTAGAATCCTGTTAATGCTTCATGAAAGGTTGAAATACATTAGCAATTATCATTGGTGACAGAGGTATTACAGTTCTAGAGAGCAACATATGGTTCTGTTATGTCAGAAATAGAAAAAAAATTAAGACAAGGATGAATTTTTTCCTATACAATAAACTTTTAATTTTATACGTGGAAGTAATTTCTGCACATTGCTATTTTTGGGACTAGGGAAAACATATACATTTAAAAGTTAGAGCCTCTTTGACATAATTTCATAATGCATATTTAATATACATTAGTTTTAATAGCTCTTACAATACAGAAAATTTTAGAATGGCCTTGGAAAACTATATAAATAATCTCAAATGAAATGTTTGAGGTCATTGGAAAATGAAATGCTTTAAGGAAGCCAGTTCAAGATGGCAATGTAAGAAGACCCAACTCACCTCCTCCATGGAATACACCAAATTACACCTATTAATACAACAATTCTTCCTGAAGAAGAACTGAGGGCTACTGAACAGCTACTGAACAACCAAAGACAAAGGGAACCCCTACCCCTAATGCTGTGAAAGGCAGCAGAGAGGGAAAGCACCGAGGGAACAGGAACAGATCTCTTTGGTCCTTGGGCACAGAAAAAAAAAAAAAAAAACATACAAACAAACCATGATTTAACTAGCATATAAAAGAGAGAACACTAGAACTCTGCCAAGTGGTGGAGGAACTGTGGAAAAGCTCTCCAGGTCAAAGGGACTGGAGAACAACACAGTTTACAATTTCCCCCCACCCCACTCCGCCCCAACCTTAAAAGCCTTGACTGGAGCAGAGTAGGACACCATAGAAGGTGGATCCAGTTGTCTCAGTAAGCTTGTGACTTCAGTGAGTCTAGGGTCCATAGGCCCATACCAGCCCTAGCTGCACTGGGACACAGAAAAAAGAAAAAAGCCATAGTTCAAAGGGCTGAGGAACTGCAGGAACACTCTTTCGCCCTCCACCTTAGAAGCCTAGACTGAACAAGACCTAGGTGGCATAAGGGATAGGTTCAGACACTAAAATTGGAGGGTTGCCAGGTCTGGTCATTAGAGAGAGCTTTCAATGTCAGTGTTCCCAGGGTCACCAAGCCTACACCAGCTGCCCTGTGGTATTGGGGCACAGAAACAGCTGTAGGTTTTCCTCTTGTTTTATTATTATTATTATTAATTATGATTATGATTATTATTTTTTTTACTTTTTCCCCTTC